ATTGGCATACTCAATTTGAGAGCCTGACTATCATTATATACAAGCGGAAAATTACAAATATGGAAAAGAGAATAAAATCAAATCAAATCAAATCAGAATAAAAATAAAATCCCTAAAAATTAGCCTATATTGAAGACCCAATAAATCTGCCATAATCGTTGAGTCAACTTATAGATAAGATTTCCAACATCATGCATAGGGAGTCATTTCGTTTTATTCTTGTTAGCATTTGAGCCTGAGCATCTATTGTCTAAAATGGAGTTCTCATTCAAACTGCTACCAGTGGCATATGCCATAGTTATAAAGTGCAATGTCAACAAATTTTCAAAGTCCACTCATCATCTTGTGCATGCAATGTAATAGAATCATCTCGGCTGCTCTGAAAAACTAATAACTTACTAATGCTTTGTACAACGAAATGTTGAAATCCTTTCTTCCGTAATTTGCCCAAAAAATAAGAAAGAAAAGAGTAAAAGGTCATATAGAACTTATGATTGTCTGCTTGAATTTCTTAACTCATTCATGTTTATTCTTAGGCAGACTGCATTGTTCAAAAAACTATGGAATTCTTTGGGAGATTCAGTTGGATATCTCAGACTTGTAGCAGTATGGAAACTGTCCCTACAATTTAAATAAGCAGATAATTGATTTGTTTTGGGCTTCTGGCAGTATTGGATACATAGTTTACTGCAATGTGTTTAGAAGCTATCTTTTTTTTTTTTTTTTTCCATGTTAAACATGAGTACTACACCTATTGTGAAGAATTTACTTAACATGAATTATTAGTGTTCTCACTAGCTTCTTTTTTCTTTTTCTTTTTCTTTTTTCTTTTTTATTTTTTATTCTCCCCTATCGGGGGTTGATTTTTGTCTCTAGGATTTGTTGCAATCCTTGGTTAGTTCTTGGGTTTCTGGTTCAAGTCTGGAAGCTTTTGAAAAAAATTGGACAATTCACTAGTTGATTTGGAATAATTCTAGTAGTACTATTTCTCTTTATTTGCTCATTCGATACTCTCCAATAATTTGTCAAAACATTTCAGAACACAAGATTTTTGTTTTAGGTCTTGTAAGAGCTTTGAGGTGCTTTTAGATCTTCATTGTTGCATTTTTTTTTTCCCGTTGTTTGTTTGTTCATTATACTTGTGGAATAGGCCTATATTTAGAGGCCTTAAAATGTTTATGATGAAGGGTGGCAAACTTAAAGGTTAGTTTTACAAGGAACTGGGAATAGGAGCTGATTTTATCCATGTGTATTTGTACTATTTCTCTCAATCCTCCCAGTGAACCTTGGTTGTATTAGGTCTTGTTGTTTAGCCAAATTTATGATTTTAATTTTGTATATATGGATAACCTGATCTCTTTTTTCCATCACTTTCTTGTAGGGACGTTTTGACATTGTCTCACTACATGGGTCATTCACCCCCACAGAGGTTGAGGGATCCAAATTTAGTAGGGCTGGTTCCTTGACCATATCTTTGGCAGGCCCTGACGGCCGTCTCTTAACGGGCGTACTTGGAGGACTACTTGTAGCTGCCAGTCCTGTCCAGGTAAGTTCTTTTTTCTTTCTAGAAAGGGGAAAGACAAGGCTACAAACCTGGTTGCTTTTCTCTCTTTCTATTTTTATAAATATAGATGTAGATATATTTTCTTTTTTCTTTTCCATTGGGGAGTTAGAAGGGAGGAGTTGACTTTATTCTATTCAGACTATTTGGTTAATAAACGTGGCTGTGGATTATATTCCTAACCAAATATTAGATAGCTGGATGTTTTCAAAATCATCTTTGGTGGCTGAATGATTTTACTCTCTTTAAGTACTCTCAAGTGACATTGGATGGAAATTCCTTACTTGTGTGATGAACCACGGTTCATCGCTTTACTGATCCTTTTCTTTTTATTTTAGTTGATCCTGGGGAATTTTCTTCCAAGTAATCAGAATGAGCCAAAACCCAAAAAGCAGAAATTTGAGACTAAAGCAGCTACAACTGCTCCAAGCTCTACTGCTAATCCTTCTAATGTGGAGAAGCATCAAAATTCAGCAGCCCAAATTTTGAATTTTGCTTCACCTTCTACATTTGGGACGGATAATTGGGCCGACATGCAGACCATACCCAGGGAAGTCCACCACCGACAACATATCTTTGCATGGAGAAAAACTAATCTTTGATGAGTACAGGTTAGTTTCCATGATGTTGAGGATTCCACTATATCGTACATGAACAGGGTATCCTCTATTATGGAACCTGATCTACACTGCTTCAATTTATGGCAGGTGCGCACCAGTAATTAAAAAATCCACTATAAATGCTTTATATTTTAACTACTACTTTTCTGAGAAGTTGTATATATGATATAACCCGCAAACCAAAGTTGGATGGTCGCCCCATGAGTGGAGACATTGGATGAGGTGCCACAAGGGAAGCAACTGCATTTGTCGTTCGCTTGGCTGCTACTAAAGACAGACCTCGAGGTATGTACATTTATATGATGAATATGGTTTTAAGTTCATATATTACCTTTGGTTCACATCAACTCTTTCCATATTATAGGTTTTCTTCAGTTGGCGGGTGGTACTAATGTTCACACGATAAACGGGTTGAAGAAAGAGGGACTTTTCCAGAACACATCCATAGTTAGTATATATCTTGCATCATCTTTTGTACTTTTTTTTTTTCCTCCCTTTTATCTTATCACATTTTAGCATTCTTCGTTGTATCTTTTTTTCTTTTGGTTTCTAACTTTTATTTTTATTTATTTATTTTTTATTAGTAGATGAACTATTTCCTGTGAATTTCATTAGTCCAAAGGATACTTTAATTGGCGGGGTTGCTTATGGTGGCTATGCACGGAAGGTTAATCTTATTTTCAATGATCATGGGCACTTAAAAAAATACACTTCTAATTGCGAGTACATTTATCTTCACTTTAAAAGACTTACTAAATTGTTCAATACTGAAATTATATACAATAATCTTCTATTTGCCCTATAACCGTATCAATTTGTTCTATTCTCGGATTGTTGTAAGGGTTTTAAATTCCATGGAATCCCGGCATGGACTTGCTTGCATTGAGGAATATCCAGAGCATCTTTTTACGGCACTAAAAGAAGCCCTTGCTTTGGTTGGTACCGTCAAATGCTACAGCAAGGGTTCTATGGACGGATCAAAATAGTCTCCGGCGCAACAGTAAATCTGTTGCAGCCGATGCACAGTACATGAACAGTAAATTCGTAGATGAACAGTAAAACGCGTTAAAAAATAATGAACAGTAAAAGCGTATAGTATATATATTTGGATACTGCCTGTTACAGATACTACCTACTATATTATACGTATGGGCCTACCAAATAAGAAGAAAAAAGGGGTAAAACTTGAGTTTCATTTCAATTTCAAAAAGGCCCGCGATTTTTTTTCATTTTTTGATCTTCTTCGCCTCATTTCAGTTGCTTTCTGTCTCTCCCTCTCTCTCTCTCTCTCTCCCTCCACAATCCCAATAGAAAAGTGATCACAGAGTATATTGTGATTCATTTTTTTCTCATCACAAAAATAGAAAGCTAACTTGTGAACTGGTTGAGGGGGTTCATTTGAATCTGAAGGCCAAGTTGAGGCGTATTGTAAAGATGATCCATTTTTTTCTCTTCACAAAGTAGAAGCTAAACTTGTGGACTTGTTAATTCTCTTCTTTGGAAGTGAAGGCAAAGTTGAGGAATTTGGTAAAGACTTTAAAACAACACATTCTCTACAACTGACTGATATTGGGTATGTTTTTTGGTTTTAATTTTTGGAGTCTATTCAATGATCTATCTGTTATTTTTCCCTAATAAAAGTTGAGTATAATATTTGCGATCGACTATTGATTCTAAATACTTGTATGAATTGATACAGTGAAATAAAGTAAAATATGAGATTTTGTATATATATATCATTGGGTAGGCATGTTAGAACAGAGTTGGGACATTGAAGTATTGGAAATAGGGATTGATTAGATTAACACGTTGGGATGTGCTGTCAATATACTTTTTTGGATTATTCAATTCAAATTAGTTCTTCCTTTTTTGTTTTGTATAATTATAAATGTTAGATTTTTTTTGAAGAGATACGTATATCAATTTATATGTTGAAATATAAATTTCATTGATCAGGCATGTTAGAGCAGAGTTGGGATTTTGTAGTGTTAGAGATTAGGATTATTCATATTGACATGTTGGGACGTGTACTTGAAACACATTTTGGGAATATTCAAGTCAAATCAATTATTCCCTTTTTTGCATTGTATAATGAAAAATGTTATAATTTATTTGAAGAGATAGGTGTATAAATTCCTATGTTGATATGAATTGTAAAAAAAAAAAAAAAAAAAAAAAAAAAAAAAAAAAAAAAATTAAATTGATTTTGTATATATTTCATTGCTCAAGCATGTTAGGATATAGTTGGGATCTAGTAAGCTTAGAGATGGGGATTATTCACATTAGTTTTTGGGATTATTCAATTCAAATCAGTTCTTCCCTTTTTTGCATTGTATAATTATAAATGTTAGATTTTATTTTAAGAGATACGTGTATCAATATTCATATGTTGAAATGAAGTTTAAAAAGAAAAAACACAAAAGTGATGTTGCATGTATTTCATTGGTGAGGCATGTTAGAACATAGTTAGGATGTTGCTGTCTTAAACATGGGGATTATTCACATTAACCTATTGGAACGTGCTCTTCATATAGTTTTGGGGATTATTCAATTTAAATCAGTTGTTCCCTTTTTTGTATTGTATAGTTATAAATGTTATATTTTTGGAAGAGATGTTTTATGCAGTTCATTGCTGATATATGACCAAACTAAGTTGGGATGTGCAACTCTTAAGTGGTCATTGGTGTTCCTATATTTTAAATTTAAGCTTTTCTATTATCTTGTGTATTTTATATACGTACAACAAGTTAGAAAGAGGAAATTTCACTTGAATTATGTTACTTGAATTATGTTGTAGGTTAAAAATTTTACTCCTTTCGATGGAAGATGAAATGATAGATATTGAAGACACAACAAATGCTATAGTTATAGAGCCCCAAGTGAATCAAGGGAAACCAAGGTTTAAGATGGAGTTTGATACGGAACAAGACGCATACGAATTTTATAATGCATATGGGGGTAGAGTTGGATTTAGCATCCAGAGGGAGTATTTTAATAATAGCCGTAAAACTGGGAAACTTTTAACGAGATTGTTTACTTGTTGCAAGGAGGGTGTTAGGAAGAAGGATAGAAGGGACAAACATATAAAGACTCCGCGAGCTGAAACAAGAACTGGTTACGGTGCACGAATGCATATTAAATATGATGAAGCAAAGGGAAAGTACTTAGTTGATAATTTTGTAGATAGTCACAACCATCCCTTGATAATTGATTAATGCACCCACATGATGTCGTCGTAGAGATGTATTTCTAGCGTCCTGGCCATTGATGTGGACTTGGCTTCAGAGTCAGGTATTGCAGCTCATAATTCATATGAGTTAATGGCAAGGCAAGCTGGTTGTAAAGAATCAGTTGGATACATTAAGCTGAACCAACAAAATTATATAAGGACCCGCAGACAGAATGAGCTTCAATATGGTGAGGCAGCATGGCTCACCAATTATTTTGTCACTCATGCTTGTGATGATCCTTCATTTTTCTATGCCTTACAGTTGGATGCTGAACAGATGATAACCAATATATTCTGGGCAGATCCTAAAATGATAACTGATTATGGCCATTTTGGAGATGTTGTAACTTTCGACACTACGTACAAACTTGTACATGGCAACCGTCCCTTTGCATTGTTTTGGGGTGTAAATCAACACCGGGAGACGGCTGTATTCGGGGCATGTAATGACCCGGATTTTTCGGATAAATTTTTTCCGTTGTCTTTTCCCTTTTGAGTTTGGTTTCTTGTCGATTAGTGTCGTCTCGAGTGCTCTGGAGTGATTTTCGAGACTCTTTTCTTTGGATTAACAACTTTCTTTAAGGACCGAGTCATTTCCACATTTTTCGTTTTTCGACACTATTCATTTTTCTTCATTTTCCCTATTCCGTCTTTTTCCCTATTTCGTCTTTTCCTCGTTTGGCACTTTGTTTGCGTAACCACACTTCTTGTGTTCGGAGTTGGTTTTTGACTTCACGTATCTTCATTCCCAATGATTTCTATGAGATACGTATCTTTACTTTCGTGAGAAAGAACTCTGGTTGCTCCCGATGTCCATAGGGGCATAATTGCAAAGTTCTTTGGAAACTTTTTCTTTTCTTGGGGTGTTTTCCATAAATATCTTTTGAATATATTTTATTTCAGGGGTATCTAAGAAAATTTTCATTCTGGGGCAGTTTCGCAGTTTTCACTTCTTGGAGGGTCATTATGCAATTAATGAAAGTTAATACTCAATGCCTTGTTTTGAGCTTGGATCCTCGTACGGGATTCATTTTCACATTTCGTCGAGTCGTGGACTCTTAGAATTTCCTCCTGGACGATGTTTTCCAGTTTCAGGGTTTCTAGCCCCGGTTTGCGCCAAACTTGTTTTAGGCATAACTCTCTGCTCGAGACTCAGTTTTCGATGTTGTTTCTTCCGTTGATCATATTTTGTCATTTGGAATCTTTTTTGTTCACAGAGTTTTGCCATTTGAGCGCGTCTGCATGAATTCCACTTTTCTGGACCCGGCGGGGCCTGTTCGGGGCACTTTTTAAGTTTTTCTATAAATAGGAGGTCTTAGAAAGAAAAATCAGATTTTTCTCTCTCTATCCTCTCTCATGGCCGGTCCAAGCTCCATCCATGGCTGCCATCTTCTCTCTCCTCTTTTGGACTTCTTCCCTTCATTAAAAAGTGGTGATGTCTTTGTGTTTATTGCTCCCCTCGACGAGGCCTTCGATTCCAGCCGATTCAAATCTCGTTTTTACCATTTCTTGAGTTCGGGTTTGAAGTCAAGTTGTGTTTTTGATGGGGCTTCCTTAAGATTCATGTTCGTGGTGTTGTCCCCGACAAAAACCTAGGAGTTTCATCAGATTCGGAGCTGATTTATTTTGGTGGGGATTTGAGATTTCATCTCAAATGGAGGTAGGGAATGTTTTAGGATTTTATAAGTGTTGTATTTTGTGTTTTCCATGTTTATACAACCTATATGCATGCCATGTATCAAATCTAGGAAATTTGAAACATTTAATTTTCATGATAATGAGAAACTTGGTTTTGAATTGTGGCATGGTAGAAACTCTTGTTTTAATATGTTGGTTAACATATATTAAATTGGAATTAATTAAATAAGAATTGCTCTTTTTAATTAATATTTATCTTTTGTGAAAGATTAAAGTTCATGGCCATACCTTGCATGGAATTGAGTTGTGTTATGCTTCTAAATTAAGTTTTGGCATGTTTGTTAACATAATTTAATGTGAGAGCATTTGGTTGAGTTTGGAAATCTAGAGACTTTAATTAAGGGAATTAATTAAAATCTATTTTGGTAGTTTCATGGGCCTAATTAAACTTGTGTGTGAATATATGTAACGACCATGATATGTCTATTAACATATATTAAATTGGGGCCAATTGGAAATGATTTGAAATCTAGAGAGTTTAATTATTTTGATGTAATTAAATTCTATCTTGTGTATCCATGGATCTAATCATGTTTTACAAGTTGTTTCAATTTTAAGAGCATGGATTTAGACTTATGATGTATTCACTAGATTGTGTTATATGCATTGAAGACCATTGTTGTTAAGTTTATATTCATGAGAGTATGTTTCTAATATAAATATATTGTTGGCTTGTGATTTCGTAGCATTATGGATATGAAATGCTTATTATGCACAATTGAGAGTTATATTGCTAACTTATTACTATGTAGTAGTAATATGTATAAGTTATGAACTTATTTGGCTTATTTTGGAATCTTGGAACATTGTTGAGTTAAGATGGCTAGGGTTTGGCTCTAGTACGAGGACGTAAGTCCTCTAAGTCATTGAGATAGTGCGCACTTAGGGTGGTCTTCCCTGCGGGTTAGTGCCCGGAATAACCATTGAGGTCTCGGCAGAATTCCGAGCGTGATGTCCAAGTATTCCACTGTTTGTTTTCGCATTCAATTCCAAGTTGACAATCATGTTTACCAAGTTAACTTGTGGTTTTGGCTATTGGTGATTTTGATGTTGTTAAGTACATCCATTCTAAATTGATATATTTAGTTGATTTCACACTTTTAGATTTCTAGTTGATAACCTAGAGAATCTATGTCTTGATGTGTGGTATTAGATATTCTAATTATGCTAAATTGTTATATTTAGTTGATGTTGCATTTTAGACTTCAAGTTGATAACCTTGAGAATCTATATGTTATTGCTTTGTGTAAGCATGCTCCTATGTTGTTGCTTTGTGTAAACATGCTCCTATGTTGTTGCTTTGTGTAAGCATGAACCTATGTTGCTAAAATTGCATGAATGAGGTGATTGATGCAAGATATGATCTTAGGTAGCTAGGATACTCCTTGAGTCTCACCTTTAACATAGACGTTGGGTGGAATGAACCACAATGATTAAATCATGCAACTTGTAAAACGTAGGTCGATGCATGCTCATTTCCTACGAGTGGCTTTATGTTACTCACCCCTACGATACTGGGGCATATTTCAGGTTCAAGAATCAAAGTTGAGGTCTTCATTATGCTTAGATGGTTTATGGACTTGGAGACTTCCACTTTTGTGAAGGTTGACTTGGAATGCCAATTATAGTCTTATATGTCAACATGTGTACATTTGACTCCTTATATGTAATGTGTACATGAGTACACTCTTTACGATGTATTTGACATATATGAGATAAGGCCGGAGGCCAATGACATGTAAATTATATCCTATGTAAATTTTGACTTCATGAATTATTATGAAAGTATTGTAAAATATTGAGTTTTTGATTCACCATGTTTGCATTGGGTGTGGTAATTCCATTTTGATTCTTCCATTAGCATTCATTCACCATGTATGAAGTGTGGCCAAGGGCCAAGCGGCATTTTGAAACCATTTCATAGTTTTGAATTCCAAGTTTTCGTTCCAAACTTCATTTTTGGCATTTTGGCCGTTGGGGGGTCATATATTGCATCGGCCATATTTTTTGTCCATGGACCATTGTAGCACATCTTACTAGTTAAGTTACGGTTGTGTGCATGGTCGTTTCCGGGCAAAGCTTCTTTTTTGGTGAAATGAGCCACCTACGGACTCATTTTACACTTTTGTTGCATTTTCTGACCTAAGGGTATTTTAAGAATTTACTTTAGGAAATAAATTCTGTTCTTCATATGGTTGAATAGAAAATATGATTTTAGGGGGGGTTTCTTTTTCGTGTTTTTCCAGAAAATGCCATCTTGGCATCGGAAATCGCATCCGAAGTTCAGCTCTCAGTTTTTTAATTTAGCAGCTTTTTGGACCCTCTGGACCGGTTTTCTTGGGAGGGAATTTTGGGTATTTTAAATTGCGTATTTTTTTATTTTTCCCATTGGTCACGTAGAAATCTCGATTCTAAGGGAGGTTTCTTCTTTGAGTTTTTCCAGAAAATGTCATCTTGGCCCTCAAATTTCCATTTTTCCCGGAAAAACCCCTGCTGCCAGGTTTTTTGGGCTGCCCATTCTGCCTCCTTCACATGTAAACGGTTACGAGGGGTTTCGTAACCGGTTACATGTGCATGGGTAGTGTGTTTCTTGTGATTTTTGGCTTCCTAACCGGTTAGAAAGGTCTCCTAACCGGTTAGATGTTCTTGGTTGCCATCTTTTTGGCCGTTTTGCCCCTTCTTTTTCCGTTAGCCATATCTTCTTCATCCAGACTCCGAATCAACCAATTTTTGAGTCTAAGTTCATTGATTTTTTGTTGTCTTTGCAATGGTGTGCTCAGTGGCACCCACTTTTAGGCTGGAAATGATGATTTTGCCCCTAGGTGCATTCTTGTCCGTTTTTGAAATGTTGTTTCCGCATTTGATTCCTTTGGGTCCCGTGACCTCGTTGAGGGTCACAATGGTGTCTTAGAGTCATGTTGTATCTCTAAAGACCGTTGTTTATCTTTTGCTTCCGCATTTTGGATCCGTTATCGGTTCATCTTTCGGTTCATCACTGACGCACCGGGTTGAAAAACTTGGGCTGTCACAAGTGGTATCAGAACTCCTAGGTTTGAAAACCTTTGGACGACGGGTTTTGGGTGCATATCATGCTTTTGTTGCCATACTCTATCTATTTATATGCTTTATGATAACATGTTTATGTGTTTACGTGCTACATGTTGTATGCCGTTTGTTTAACATTGTTTTATTCTAATGTAAAGAGCATGACATGTGACGTATGCTAGATTAGAATTGTATATGCATAATTGTGTTGTATACTTGGCATGACACGGGATTGGTCATTGAAGCACGATTTGAGGTTGATGGTGATTGTAGTCATAGTCTCGTGGTGATGTAGGTTGTTGTCGACCTAGCATTGGTTTTGAGGTAGGTGGATGGTCACCTTTTGTTTGGGCTCTTATGAGATGAGTCATTTGGCGTAACCGTAGTGGTGGATTTATTGGTTTTGGGCCATTATGAGGTTATGGACCTCTTAGGATCCTCGATTGTTCAGGATGATTCCTCTAGAACTTGCGTTTTTTCGTGGGCGGGTACGTTTGTGGGCGGGTGCATGGCACTGTCATGCTACCGTACTGGCGAGCTATAAGTGCAGTTCGGATGGAATCAGGGTTGGTTTCCATTTTGATAGGCGTTGTCCTTTCGATCGATGATGATGATGGTTGTTTTGGAGATCAGTCGTAGTGATCGATCTGATTGGTGTTGGTATGGCTGTAGTTGCCATTTTCCTTCAGGAGTTCTTGTC